TCAAAGCTTAGAGGAGATTATGTTTTAACAAGGGAGCCCATTGCCTCACATCTATTCTGTATATGAAGCAAGGTTGACCTTCTTTCCTCTTCTCCACCTCCCACTCACCCACCAAGTCCCAACTGCAGAAACCAGAGGGAGCTGGTTCTTCAGAGCATCCCTCACTTTGCAAAGGTAGCCAGAGTCATTCCTCATCTTGGACAAGTTCCAGCTAGAAAAAGTGACAGGGCAGTGACTCTCAGTGAACAACTGATTTTGAACTTGGCATCACAGAGCACTGGCTTCAATGTCAGAAGGCCCGGCTTTTAGATCAAGGCTTCCTGCCATTTATCTGCTGTCTGACCTAGCCAGTGCCACATTCCCCAAGGGGCAGAGTAAGTATACACTCAGACCACCAACAACAGAAGTACAAAATAGAGAGAGAATGAAAAAATCTTTAAGAAGCCATTTTAATTTCAACATACATGTGGAACTCTTAGTAATTTCAAAACATACCATCTTATTTGAAGGTTTAACATTGCTTTTACTTGGAATTACACATCAGGAGACACTCTAATCTTTTCAACCCTTAGGGGTTCTAATTGTCTTGATCCAGCTGGGTGCCTCTGGACAAATCCCTTCCTTCTTCTGGGCCTCAGTAGTCAAGTGTTATGACACCCATATGGTTAATGACCAAGTTTTGTTTTTTAATTTTAAAAGTTTGTAATGTTTATTTATTTTTGAGAGAGACAGAGACAGAGGGTGAACAGGGGAGGTGCAGAGAGAGAGAGAGAGAGAGAGAGAGAGAGAATCCGAAGTAGGCTCCAAGCTCCAAGCTGTCAGCACAGAGCCCAATGCGGGGTTTGAACTCACAAACCATGAGATCATGGCCTGAGCTGAAGTCTGACGCTTAACCAACTGAGCCACCCAGGCACCCCTTAATGACCAAATTTTTCTGTCATGTGGCATAAACCAACTCCACCTAAACCAGAGAAGTATAGAGACAAATGATGCAAAGTCACCACTCTCCTCCTGACACCTAATCAACCTCACAAAGGTCAAGGTTGAGCCCAAGAGCCATAACTTGAATATTCTCCTATTACTCTACTCTTCCGTCATCCCGATGCTTTTTGTCACCTTAGCTGTTCATGTGTCTCTAAAAAGGAAAAGATTAAATTTCTTGTTTCTAAAGTAGAGAAAATTCTAGCGGACATTTTGGTGTCAAAATTCCAGGGAAGATGTTTTCAACACAAGGAAATACCACGAAGCAGACCAGGAATTTCATGGTATTTAAGAGAAAATGGGCTTGCTTACCCTCCCCACTCGGTCAAGCCACTGTCCCAAGGGTCTCTGGGCATGACAGGTAGGACTGAGACAAAGTGAGCTCTGGCAAAGTGCCTGTTGCAAGTCCCCAAAGTTCCCCCTGCTCCATTCAACTCAAGCAGGCCATATTCCCTCCTCAGTAGCAATGATGGTCCAATTCAGGGTCCATGACACCTCATCTAATGGTAAATAGGCTGCGGTCTAAAGATGTGGTTCTCATTTTTTCATCTCCATATAGATTTACAACAGTCTCCCCTTGCACTGTAATTATGATTTAAACATAAACAAACCAGCTGTCCTTTCTGATTGGGAGCCAACGTTGCCACAAAGCTGGAAAATCAGAAGGCAGGAATTTTATATAAAGATGAAGAGGGAGTTTCCACCATCGACTCAACGGGCTGTATTCAAGCCAAAACAACTGCAAGAAGGAACAGAGCATCTTCCCCACGGCAAGTTCATCAGCTAATGTAACATGATAGGGCCCAGTGTTATTAAACATACCTAGATTTATCTAGTGCTTCAGTGGCTTCTTTGCTCAATTCAGAGATATTATACCCCTAGGCCAATAGCCTGATTGCTTTTGTAATTATCATCTAAGCACCTACAAACATTAAATGGATCTCTGAGGGAGAAATTGGAAAGCTTGGATTGACTCAGCATATTGCAGCAGGCATGGAGCTGTTTCCCTCTAGCTTTGTCCATGCCATTCTTGAGACGAAGAGTACAGAACACGAATGCAATAAAACAGGTCACATTCAAAGCCAGATGTGAGGAAAAAACCCTCTAGTTGTAGGCAGGGCCACGCCAAGGGTGTGGCAACAGTCACAAATCCATAACCAGAGGAGCCTGGTGCATTCCCATAGCATGCCCTCTCCTCTTTCCAACCCCCATCCCCCACCTCACCCCAGTTACAAGAGCTTCTAGGGCAGTCTCAAAGGGGTTCAAATTACCAAAGAACAGCCTTCAGTGGAGGAGGAGGTGTTGCCAGGCAACCAACCCAGCCCAGTCCCACCCTTGTAACCTTGAAGATGGTGGGGGTGTGACCCCCGGTTGCAGAGAGGAGCACTTTGGACTCCCTTAGCATCAACTTTCTCCTCCTCTATCTCTCTCTCCTCCCCCTGCCCTCCCCCTGCTGCCTCTCAGGGCCCCCGGAAGAAGGCTGCAGTCTGGTCTCTGCAAGCCTGAAGGCTAAGGGCCAGTCTGACTTGCCATGGCTCCCATATATGACAGCCAAGCTGTCCCTGCAGGAAGGCTACAAGCTGCTGACCTGTCAGGTGTCATTCACTCCTGTTATGTTGCTTCCAAACCTTCCTCCCTCCTTCCCAGGTCTTTCTTGTCCCCCATGGTCAAAGAAATACCCAAAGGAAGAATTTGGGGGAAATCCAGCCAGTGGAGGATATATAGGGTAAAATGCTGAGTGGGAGCGCTGACCACCAGCAAAATGGTCAGTAAAAAAGTAGGAGTACTAGAAGAAAAGGCACAGGGAAGAAAAAAAAAAAACAAGACCTGATAATGGTAAAAAAAAAAAAAGGGGGGGGGGAGGGGGATATTTACCTGGGGTCAAAATATAATACATAGCCTGCTGAACACCTTGTTCAAGCTTATACCTGAGCGACAAGAGGGTGGCCAGATGGTGCACTGATTATGCTCCCCAAGACTCTTTGCGTTTGGTACCTATGCTCAGATCATTGCTGAGAAGGCCTAATTTAAGTGATATGCAATCAAAGCACCTGAAGAGAAAAGTGTGCAGTGGGAATCTCAAGGGGAATCTAGGGTAGGGCATTAGACCAGAAAATGGAAAACCAGAACTTCTTGCCAAATTAGGGCAGCCGCATTCCATTTATGCAGCAGACCCCTCAGTGGCTCTCAGCTGAGAAACATGTTCGTTCCCAGAGAGGCCAGTGGACACACCAAAAATGGCCACTCTCACAGAAACCAAAACAATGTGATTTATTCTAAGAGTTGCCCCCCTTCCTTTAAAACATATCCATTGCACAAAGCCATCTTTTTCTAAACCATCAGATCACAGGAAAGGGTTAAGTCCCAAGGTGACTTGGTGAAGCCATGCCTTCCCTCACGTGGAAAAGGCTCTGATTCAGTGGACAGAAAGGTATAGGCTGGAAAAGCAGAGCCTCCCTTCTGTCCTTAACTTACCCAGCTAAACTCAGTAGGTGGCTCTCTGTAAACTGTGTGGGGATTTTGAAAACTACTCCCCCAGCTGACTGATCAAATTTCTCCTAGGCTAATCCTGGTAGTCAGTAGTCAATGGGACCTCAGGAAAAAAAAAAAATCAACACTGACCTTCTTACCCTCTTTGTTAACTGAGAACTAACCAGACTTAGGGCCCCAGCTTTCTTGGTCCCCTGCCATGCAGAGGTTTCTGGTCCCATGTCTACATTCCATCTGGCAGTCATCTGCGTCTTCCACCTTCCTTTTCACACATGACCCAGTTCATTTTTCTCCACTAGTGACCTCCACCATCTACCTCAGAAGTCAGAGACCTTTTCCAAAGAGGAGGTCCCAGGGCCTCTGAGTCCTGTCCTACTGAAAAGAGTGGGGGCAAGGTGGTGTCTGCAAGGGAGAGGGGCTGGCCCAGGTAATCCTTCCCCAAGGCAGCGGGAGTCGCACTCAGAAGTCAGCAAGTAGCCATCTTCTGCCTCCATCTGAAACTTTCTGGTCACACTGCTCCTTCTCTCCCCTTTCTGGTGTGCCAATTGGCCTTGGTACCTGGCATGCCCCAGCTGTGGTCAGCATTTCCAGCACGTTCAGTCCCCTTGCTTTCAGCAAAAGTTTCACACTCTAAGGAATCACTGCATTGCCACGGAGCAAGGATTCCCCATTCAAAGTGCTGGAGTCCAAAGTAGTCAGGGTCAAAGGCTCGCATCGCCCTCCTACCCTCTCACGGGTCCTGAGTCCTCAGCCAGGGCACCATTGGGTTTCTCAGGCACGGCTAATTCCTTAAGGAATCCTGAAACTGATGACAGTCACTTTAAGCGGTTCTCTCAAGCAAATCCGTGCAGCCAGACCCTAAGGGTAGGGGTCAGCGAAGCTGGAGGCAGTCTCTCCTTTCCCCCACACCCCTCGGGCCACTCCTGGCGCAGTGACCCCGAAATCGCGGGCAGAAGCAGGCGGGAGGGCGCTCTGACACTCCTCCGCGAGCGAGCCGCGAACACGCTCCGGCGCGAAGTTGCACAGGTTTAAATCCGGGAGGCACCGCCGCTAGGCTCCTGCGGCCGCGTAGTTGGCCTGCGGCTCCCGCGCGCTTTCCGAAGGCGGCCGAGCAAAGACGCCAGCGGCGCGGCCATTTGGTTCCCAACGCCGCGAAGACGTGGACGCCTCGGGCCTTGGGGACGGCGCTGAAGCCGTCCCGGACCCAGTGGCTCCCAGGAACCCCGCAGGTCCCCCCGCCTTGCCCCCCAACCAGATCCCCAGAAGGTGGCCGCGCACCCCAGGGCCGAGAGCCCCGAGGGCACAGGGCCACTCAGGACAGCGCGGCAGGGTCAAGGAGCAGGAAGTTCCAGAGGGAGAGCGGCGGGTCGGGAGTCCAGGAAAAGGGATCCCCTCACTCGCTGAGGAGAAGGGAGGGAAGGGTTGGGAAGGGAGGAGGAGGGGCCGGGAGGGGACGCAGAGACGGAGATCACTGGCGCCCCCAGAGGCGGGGTAGACAAGGGGCCGTGAGGCTCCCAGGCGCGGTTTACCTAGCTCTTCCTCGTCGTTCTCTAGGCCGAGCAGGCGGCAGGGAAGGCGGCGGCGGAGGCGCACCGTTCGGCGGAACAGGCTGTCGGTGCGGCGCCCCAGGGCCAGCAGGTGCCCCTCGAGGTCCTCAAGCAGAGCCAGCGAGTGGCCACAGAGATCGGCGAGCTGCCGGAGCAGGCTGAGCGCGGCCAGGTGGCTCACGTCGCGGAGCTCGGTGAGCTGCTGCGGCGGGTTGCGCGGACACAGGCGCTGGGGCACCACCGTGCGCCTGTAGAACGGCATCCCGGGCGCGAGCGCGGGGAACCAGCCTGGCGGCGCCGCCGACACACCCGGAGCGGCGCCCCTGGCCCAAGAGCCCCTGAGTGGCGGCCCCAGCTCCGGGTGTAACAGGCCCCGGGCGCGGGCCCGCGAGCTGGCGGGCGCCGAAGACGCCAGGCGGGTGGGCGGGCTGACGGGTTCCCAGCCTGGAGCGCTGTTCCCCCCGGGGCTGCACACTCGCCGAAGCCACCAGTCCCTCTGACTCCGGTTCGCTGGGCTCCTCCTCCTCCTCCCCGCCTTTCTCCACCTCCTCCTCCCTACTTCGGGATCCCCCCACCCACCTTTTTTTTTTTTTTTTTTTTTTTTTTTTTTTTTTTTTTTTTTTTTTGCGGTCAGAGATTCGCAGATTAACGTTTGATCCGGGAGAGGAGGGAAAGGGAAGTTCGAGTAAAAACAGCGAGCTACAGCGTGAAAGAAGGAATGTCTGCGTGAGGTGGGGGGGGGGGGGGGGGGGGGGGGGGGGGGGATTGTGATGTTCGGTACAGTATGTGTGCCCGTGTCCTCCTGCAGAGCTCGAGTCCCAGTACTGATGGTTAAAGTTGTGTTCTGCTTTGTTTCTTTAACTTAAACTTTCTCTTCATAAATAATAAAAATTCAAGCGCACCCGCTCCCACCGAATGGTCTGATTTCATTCATCTAGCTTTCCTTTCCCAAACATGTACTTGGTGTCACACACGGGCTAGACTAAGCTGTGAGTACAGCCTTCTAGCGCCCAGGAGCTTGGGAATGAGGAGGAAAGAACCAATTATCTTACTGGACTGCTCAGAAGGGCAGTGTCTTTGGGTACTCTCACAGTGCCTGGACTGCTCTAAACACCCTGGAATGAATGAATCCATGAATGAATGAATACAAACCTATTCTCTGGAACAATAGATGCAGTTCAGATGGAGGGATGCAGCTCCATACATTATGCAAAAAGAGAGCCCAGAGCTACCTCCAGCTCTGGCAGCACTGGGCTCCTGAGATGCCCGTGGAACAGCCTGGCATATGCTTTCAGTACGGGAAACCCTGTAGTCACGCCTCAATTCCTCTCCATTGTAGAAGTTAGAAGAGAGGGAGACACTGACATCCTCAAAACCAGAGTGCCTGAGTTATGTGTGTGTCCCTGTGCACTTGGGGAGTTTCCCCTCTCAACACTTATTTTCAACACACTGAGCTACCATCTGATTCTCCCCTAAGCCACTTTGACATTGCTGTGGTTCCATTTCTTCCTTCTGGTAATTCTTATATCTTTCCTGCTAAAAATGCTCCGATCCGTATAATCCCTTCCTCATAATCTATTAATAAAACACCTTGAACAGACTATGTGTGTCTGTGCTAATGATCCTGAGTGTGGCCTGTTCATTCATTCCTTTACAGAATTGTCCCTAAGGCAGTTCAAAAGGCCTTACAACTAGTTAAAAGTAATCTGATTACCCATGTTCCTTGTTCAGTAAAGTGGAACATGGATACTAAAAAAGTCCTTTCTGTTAAAATAAGAAACAAATGGGCAAAAGACAACCCCTTTTCTGAACTGTGAAATCCAATTGCAGAATGAGGACTCAAAATCCTGTATTTGGCGAACTCAAACCTGAGCCAAAAGAGTGACTGGCAGGAAGTAGGGACTTGGCTGGACTCTCCAGGGATACTTTTCCTTGACCTATGGGCTGTTTAGACTGATCTTCGTTGGGGAGAAAAAGAAATGAGGTACGAGCAGATTGAAAGAGACTGTGTGGGCAAAGCTTCACTGCCTGAGGGTGGCAGGCCTAGGCTGGGCCTGGTGTCTGAGCCGACCTCACTTTGATTCCTGAAGCTGATGAGTCTTTCAAGGCTCTATAATAACAAGCTCCAAGCAAATCAGCATTGGCCCCACACCCTTCCCCCCCAGCCAAGTCTGTTCACTCCAGCCTCTTCAGTGTGCAGGCCCTGGCTTTCATCAAAGAAACATCAAGGACTTGCAATGGGGCCACCTCAGAACAGAGCCCCTCCTCCCTTCCCAGGACCAGAGCCGGCAGACTGCATGTACTGTTGGAAGAAGTCAAGAGACTATAAGTTTTCACCTTCCTTCTTACTGCCAGGCTCTTCCCAATAGGAAAACTAAGACCTTGAGCAAGAGGCAGGCTTTTATGTAGAGAGCCTGTGGGGAAGGAGCAAGGGGCCTGGCTCTGGTCTGTGGAGGGAGAGTCAGGGTTCTAGAAGTGCCACATTCCAGCCACACCGTCCAGGGTGGGTCAGCAAGCTAAGATGAAGGGTCCTGTCCCATACTCCCATATCACCCTCCAGCACAGCATTGGCACAATCATCCTTGTTTAACAGTAACAATATCGTGGAGACAACTGGGTGGCTCAGTCAGTTAAGTGTCTGACTTGATTTCAGGTCTTGGTCTCACAGTTTGTGGGTTTGAGCCCTGAGTCGGGCTCCACACTGACGGCACAGAGCCTGCTTGGGATTCTCTCTCTCTCCCTCTCTCTCTCTCTCTCTCTCTGTCTGCCCCCAAATAAATAAACTTAAATTTTTTCTTAAAAAATAATAATACCATCTTCTCCCATTAAACTGTTAGCTCCATGAGGGCAGGAACCTTGTCGGTCTCACTCACTTCTGTACGCCCAGTGCCAAGCCCAGCGACCGGCACACAGTAGTACTCAGAAAATGTATACTGATGAATGAATAAATGAAGCTGGATTATAAAAGAACCCAATATGAAGAGCTTTACTAAAGGACTTAACTTGGCCTAAGGGTTAGTAGAGAGTCATTGTGGATTCTGTAGCAGAACACTGCCTAATGTGGGGAAGGAGATGCTTGAGAACTTTTCATCTGGAGGCAATGGGAAGAGGCAAATGAGGAGGGCAAGACTTCTATGTCCCATCTGCACACACAGCCCCAGGGCCAAGTAGCCAGAAAGTGCTCTGTGAATTCAACATTTGCTTTAATATGCTTATAAACCGAGGCACTGTGCATTCAGAGGGAGAGAGAGGGAAAGTGCAAAGGGGAGAAAGGAGAAGCCCCTAACAACCAAGCCAGACCTGAAAATGCTGGATGCTTCCTACCCATCCACCAACTCCTAGACTCCAGACCTAGAGCGACTCATCTGTCGCTGTGCTCGGAGTTCCAAACTAAGCCTAAATTGGGCCCACCTGTGGAACTGGAGGTGGGTCTGGTCTAGAAGCAGTGACTGGGAAAGAGTGGCCAGAGAGGTAGGAGGGAAATGGGAGAGTTGGCCACCGCAACCAGCAAGGCCTCTGCTCTTCTTCCCACCTTCTGTCCTGCCTAACTAGCTGCTGCTAAGAACCTAGAACTTCAATAAAAACTGGATTTGAAGGCATAAATAAGTAACATAGGATATGACACTTCTCTTCCTTCAAGCTGGCAGCTGCCATAGCTGCGAAATGAAAAGTCATGAGCAAACATGCAACCTACCCAGTTTGCCAGTACAGCCCTGTCTTATTTCAGGATGAGAAACAAGAAAGGTGCCCCCATGTTGCTACCTCTCAAATTTCCACAAATGGTAGCACTTGAAAGCCAAGCAGCAATGCCAGTTTTCTCCGTGACATTCCTCTATAGTCAAGCAATTGTTGTGGTTTTTTTTAAATGTTAATTTATTTTGAGAGAAAGAGAGAGAGAGAGAGAGAGCACACATGAGCAGGGGAGGGGCAGAGAGAGATAGGGAGAGATAGAGAATCCCAGGCAGGATTCATGCTGTCAGCACAGAGGTCGATGCGGGGCTCGATCCCACGAACCATGAGATCATGACCTGGGACAAAATCAAGAGTCAGACACTTAATGGACTGAGTCACCCAGGCACCCCAGTCAAGCAATTGTTTTATCTAAGTTGCAAGAATATACATTCCACTCCCAGTACCCTCTTGCCACGAGACTCTGTGCAGATGCTTTCCTTATGAATGAATATACATATGTATGTATATGTATATGTATATGTATATGTATATGTATATGTATATGTATATGTATATGTGTATGTATATACACACAGCCAGTAGGGGGATATAAAGGCTGTTCCTCAGTCCCAACTTTAACATCGTCTTGTTCCCTGGTGCTAAGTGTCCGTACCAAGAGAAACTAACCAGAATTGGCAAATACCAGATTGACTTTTTTTTAAATGTCGTTTACCCTTTTTGGTATCAATGCTTGGCTCTGTAGTTAAGAACACAAGCAAACTATCTCCTCAGACAGGCCCTAATAAAGTAGCCCGAGGAAAACAAACTAGCAGCTTTTAGCTTTTCAATCAGAAGAGATCGCACGATGCAATCGACAATGCAGACAAAACCCGTGCTAATCAATGCCATACTCTGAAAAGAGTGGGAGCAGGATGGGGATCAATGCCTCAAGATTTGAGAAGCCGGAGCAGGCTTCTGCCCTTGAGGCAGCCTTCAGAGTGGGGAGGGCTGTGCACCAGAGCTGGGCCTCCAGGGGCGGACTGGAAACTTACACAGCCATCAATCACCTCCTAGGCAATCGGCGTGTAAGCTGAAGACGGCTCAAGGACCTAAAATAAATTCCTTCCAGCCCAGACTCAGTGTTTCACACACACGCAGGGCAAACCCTTCAAGAATTCCATGAGGAAATAAACCTTTATTTCAAAAATAAACTTTGATGTTGTTTGAACTTTGGCCCTGACTCTGAGCCCAGGCTGAAACTGCGAGAAAAGATTTGTGGTATTTTGAAAGAAACTATAGGAGATTTCAGCAGAACATGAACACATTCTTGTTCAGCCTCTCATCCTCATGTTGTATGTGGGTTCCCCCCTCACCACCAGTCCACCACCCCTCACCCCACTATCCTGTTTTCCCTCACTCCCTCCTTATCTTGTCTGGAAGAGACTATAATTAGGAACATTCAGATGTTGCTGCATTCAATGGGTAATTTTATTCTAACAGGCTTGCTTTACTCACAAGAAATCATATTGGGACACTCCCTGACTATCCTACTCCTGACCTAACAACCAGCACCCCTCCCCTGCAAATTCC